AAAAAAAAAAAGAAAAAAAAAAAGGAAGGTTTTGAGATAGTCAAGCTTTTATAGGGAAAATAATCTTGGATAGGGAGGTGAAATCATTCTGTTTCTTATTCTTTTTTACATTGTGAAGAAAAGACAAAACTCTCATCATTGATCCTGTATCCTTCAGAGACGGCAGTGCCAATTCCAGTGTCCAGAATAGTGGCTAATTCAAACATCACCTTTGCTTCACTGGGTTTATACAACCAGCGGTTCCCAACACTGCGTTAACTTTTCTTCACTGACTGTGTTGACAACAACATGGTCACAGTCATACTGTGTGCCTCCTGTAGAAAGAAATGTCAAAGAAGGGAGGTTATATTTGTAGTAAGAGACAAATACTCTAGGTTTCAGAAAAGCTCTGTAAGAGCTGGTGTAGACAATTTCTCTTTGACCCATAGCTCTGAGAAGACAAATGTATTTTCATCACTGCCTGCTTTGGAATTTATTTTTTAAACAGTTCATGAATTAACCAGAATCAGTCTACTTTAGTCTCTCCACCCTTTTAGCAATTCAGTTTCTCAGCTTTTTCAGCCTGGATGGAAAAGGAAAGAAACACTGAAGTACAGCCAGGTGCAGCTCCTTGAATACTGTCACTTCCCAAAAGTCACATGTGACTATTCAGTTTTTCTGCAAAAATTGTCAGTTGTCACTTGACTCTAAAAACAGAAGTAAGATGTTTAGATGATGAAGTAAGTCCTTCTGCTAACAGACAATACACACGTGACCAAGTCAGAGACAAGGTCTGACATTCGTTTACTCCTTGCCATTTTAATCCTTTATTCTGACCAGATGAATCACAAGTTATCATGCACAATCACCCAATGTTCAGCTGTTTCCACTGGCAGCTGAACATATCTGAATGCAAAATAGAAACATTTCTTAGAAAAGCTTAATCTGCTTATGTGATATTATGCCAGACATGTTCTCATACAGGAACACTATTAATATTCTTACTTAAGAAACTGGGAAGCAAAGACACGTTTGACTGGAGCCGAAAAAGAGAATTGATGGTTTTTCCCTCAGATCTAGTATGTACTGCTGAAATGTAGGACACATGCATTTCCTGTACTACAACAGGCCTGCAAAGCAAGTGGTATTCCCCCTGGAAGTAACCATCTGTGCCAACCATTTATACAAAGCACCAGGACACTCCCATGGACACTGTCTTTTTGTTCTGCACCCCAACTGCCTCCTGACTGAGCAAAAGACAAGCCTGGCAGCTGAAAGTTTATGATGAGTGTAACATACTGAGCTTTGTAGCTAATTTTTTTTTTTTTTTTGTAGCTCAGTTATCACTGTGAATGCAAAAATTTTTTTTAAAGTGGTGTCTGATAGAATGCAAACATTTTAAGATGGGAAAATATGGCTTTTTTTCTTCAGTGGATAGAGAGACTATTTACTTTGATAGCATGGTGCTCTGGACAAGGCTTTGTGCTATGCCAGTTTATCCACAAGGTGGCATTGGCAACTGCACAGTTACATAACTGCATTCATTTGCTGAGGAATTCTGTAACACACAATTTGTGGTCCGGAATGGATCAGCAGAGTTGGCAGAAACAGGCAATATTCTTATTAGGCTTTCTCAAATAAAAGCTAAGTGTATCTCCTGTTTTGTATTTACTGTACAGATTTACTTTGTTTTAAAGCTAAGAGTGTACCTATACTTCCACTACCAGACCTATCAATTGCAAAGTTCTTAAATTATAAATGCAGAACACATAATTGCTTTTAACATGATTAACTGAAGAAAGGGCAAAGCAGTAGTATTTCTGCTTGTTTGGAACAGGCGCCCCAGGAAAGTGGTCACAGCACCGAGCCTAATAGAGTTGAAGATGATTTTGGACAATGCTCTCGGGCACATGGTGAGACTCTTGGGGGGTGTCCTGTGCAGGGCCGGGAGTTTTGAGGGCTTTTATGATCTTTATAGGTCCCTTCCAGCTCAGGATATTCTATGATTTCAGGCATTCAGTCCTGTTTAGTTCTAAAGTGTTGACTGTTGACTATGCTGTTTTTCTGGTTGGTTTTCTGGGGGGTAGTGGTGCTTGTTATTAATGTCACAGCATCAATTTAAAATCAATTTTAAAACAGCTAAAAAGTTAATAGAATAGAACAGTTACAGAAAATGTATGCTCCCTTCACCCAAAAAAGCAGTTATGTAAGAACATCTGATTATGATAATTCTGCTAATCATTCTATTTGCTACCTTTTTAGACCTTCTGTGAAACTCTGAAAACGAAGTTCAGAAACAATATCTACACAAATCAAATTACTATTACAAAAGTGACTCCAAAATACACATCAAGTGTTCACAGACCCTGGGCTGCTATGGCAGAATCTCACGCTTGCCATATAGGTATAGCCATTAATAAACAAAAGAACCTCACCTTTTTGCATCTAATCATATCAGTATACAAGCCTGCCTTTGCTTTCCTAATATCCTTTTGGTATTGCACCTACAACTATTATATAAGAAAAGTTGCATTTACAGAAATTAATGTAAAGTTAGGTTGTTCTTGCTTCACCATTTTAAATATTCATATTCACATTGCCCAAAAATTAACAGAGGCTATCTACAGTGAGTGGACACTGAGAATACAAGATAAGCAAGTACTGTGGGTTACTAAATTGTATACGTAGGAGAAATGAAATTAAGTCCTAGGGCCTGTATAATTCAGGAGGTCAAACTAGCTGATCGAGTCTTTTTTGCTTCTAGATTAAAGCAACTAAAGCACCATCCTTAATTTATAGGAGCATTTAGTGTGTCTCCCACTGCAAATACCATGTAATTAAGACCCAATGTAATGAGATAACATTTGCTTACCTTTGATATCTAAAACCAGCTTGGGTTTCATCTTGCTATAAATTCTGCCATCGGGACTAATATGCCAATATTGTTTGTCTTCATTCCGCTCAAATGACAGACCGAGTTTAGAGCCAGGAGTTATAAGATTTCCAACAATTGTCAAGCAGCAATCCTCTGCCATCTGTGTCATCAAAAAGGCAACAGCAATTACTCAGAATGGCCTTACTTCTACTGTCCACTGTTTTTTTAATCGAATAGGAGATATGTCATCAGGTGAGAACAGAATTCAGGAATAACCTTCCCTCCAGGAATCCATTTTTGCCCCAAACTCGACTCATCTTTCTTTTGTTCCTGTTCATGCTGACACTCTCCACTACAAGGGAACATTAAAATAACTATGCTGTATCAGACCAAAAGGAACAATTAGCACCTGTCTCTAGCAGTGGCCAATACATTAATATCATGGAAGACTACATTGATTGTACTCTCCTATGTAATATGTTCCTGGTTATCTCTTCTAGGCTATAGCAGTTGCCAGCCCAGACACTTTTCCACACATCTTGGAATCTTTAATGCCCATTTTCTGTTCCATGTGTGAATTTAGTAGCCACTACCCACCATGATCAGTGTAACCCTTTAATGTGAACACCCTCGTGTATTGTAACCCTTCCATACTGAGGCAAGTAGTTCCACATCCTGACTACCACTATTTTTAAAAACATAAATCCAAAATAATTTGATATGCAACTAGTTTTGATGCTCTCCTCATCCCTTGATTATTTTAAAGGCTGTGTTGTCCATGTTATGTTTGCAGTGACTTCAAGCACATTATCCCTCAAAGTGTACACTTTGTAGGCTAAAATGTCCTTGCTATTTTGTCTCTTCCTTGCATAGAGAGGCTCTCCATTTCCTCTGAACATATTTTTTTCCCAAATATTTCTAGCTTTGCAGTAACCTTTTCATGAAGAGGACATAACTGCACAGTATCAAGTGTATGAATTTCACAGGGTATCACAGTAATATTTGCTTCTTTGTTCTACACTCTTTTCCTAGTCAATTGTATTACTTGATTCCAAACATTTGCAAATGTCTTCTTGGTTAAAAAAAGAGCTGGCAAAAATCAAGCTTATTTGAAAAGAGTGTTAAGGCTGTATTACTAAGGAACAGTTAATTTTTCTAGATAAACAGTGATTTTCAGTAGTTCATCATAAACTGCGCCTTTTAACTACTGAATGCGCTTCTGTGGCATATTGAACGTTCATCTGTCATTGTTGAAATGGCCCTAAATTATTTTACAAGTATTTTTGAAAGCACTTTTTCTTGAAAAACTCATGCTTCTATCATAACCTAGAATTAAAAGTTGATTGGTTGTGAAATTCTCACTTGTATCTGAAGTGTTCCCTAGTGGGACTAGGAAAACTCTGAGCTTAGACATTAGGTCCACCAGGCCAGAACTTCACCCATCTCCATGAAACTCATAAAGAGTAAGGAGACCTTCATTCGTATCTGTTTCTGAAAAAAGAGCAGAATGACTTTCATATCTTGCTTAATACTTATCCCACGAACTCAAAACAGCCCTTCCTAGAAAACTCCAGACACAGCTCAAAGTCACATCTCATGACTCAGTCACTGAGATGACACAAGCTTACAGGAAGGTGCAGGTTCTTCCAGTGGCCTATGTCTGCCTCCATGCAGGTAGCTACCCACCCACCCAGTTTTCTTTGTAATATATGGTAAAACCCAATTTTTGGTTTGTGCAAAATGGGTTTATTGCCATTCATCAGAAAGATGGCAGAGCTCTGTAAGAGTTCAGTCACTTAATATCAATGTTGCCAGCTTGCAGTCTGCACTAAGCTACTTGATTGCTATACAGCACAAACTGTATTTTCTGTTCACAGAAAAATTACTTTATGAGATACAGAAAAAGGGCAAAAACCAGGAGTATTTATCCAAAGCCATATAATACCATGCTGTCTCAATATGAAAACTTGTTGACATGTTTGAGAAGCACCATCAAAAAGAAGTCTTTTGTATGTCACATTAAAGCTTTTAGCTTACTTTGCATCATTTTGCTGTCTGCATAAATCCCTTTTACAACTGCATGTGTCCTGTAAACATGTCCGAACAATGCCTTAGCTTATTAACAGTAAGATTCTTCCCTCCAGCATAGATGACATAGTTATAAATGGCTCCTTTGAAGTTACACAGTCCTATAGAAAAAGTTCACATGATTTTTTGCAGTCAAGCTGTTTAACAGTATTAAAGTAACTTAATTTTCTTTTGGCTGGCATCCCTACCTAAGACTGTTCATGCTTAAACATTATATGAACTGTGCATACCTCTGCTCACCTCAATGACAATTTGCACATGATTAGTTTTATGGACTGTGAGAAAAGTAGGGCTTCATTTGGAAACTTGTACAGAAGAAAGAAAAAAGTATGGATTTGATAAATACAGGGATAACCAGAAAATAAAACAAAACAAAACCCCAAAACACAAAAACCCCACCCCTAAATGGCTCAAAAGAGTGGGATTTTATATTTAAGCTTGCCTAAATGCAGAAGAGGATATTGTCCTAGGGTGATACATGATATTTGTATTTTAAAATTCCTCCCAAATTTGCCCTAAACCAGTACAAATACCAACCTACATTACACTAACTGTCCTACTGCAAGGTATGCATAGTTCAAAATATTATCAGGAAGGGTCTCCCCTGCTTTGATAATTTTGCAATACTTTCTCTAAATTTCAGTTATGTCAAAAAGTATTACAACTAATTTGTATCATCTGAAAAAGGCAGACTTGATTAAAACAGAACAAAACAATACCCAAAAAAGCAAATCCCTACAGAAAGATTACATTATACTTGAAACAGATTAAGTCTATAAAATAAATGAAGATGCTGCAGTAGGAATTAAATTCATAAAGCTCTACTGCTGGAGAGTAAAAGAGAAAATGCGCATTGAACTCAAACCTTACCCGACACTTTATGAATCCATCCTGATAAACCCAGATTTGATCATCTGAGTCTGTATCTTCTGCAACCTGTATTCTAAGAAGATTCAGATTATCTAAGTTGCCATCAGCTGACATGAATTTTCCTGTTTCCTTGTTTCGAAGCCTGAAGTATACACGTTTCTGCACAAAACAAAAGAACTCTTTAACCACAATCTCAGCAGAGAACATATCCTTCTCTGAGTTATCTTCAGAGCAGTTACTGTCAGTGCTGAACCCCAAACCTCCCTCCTTCTGAAAGCTTAACTTTTTTATTTGAGAATTTAATTCAGAATCCCATAAACATCTGGATGAGACAAGCTGTGAGAACTCACCATTCTGCATGGAGAGTTTTAGGCTTTCCTGTGCACCAAAATCAGCACACACCAGAAAGCTAAATAATTTTTAATTCAGAGCAGAACTAACTTCTCTCTGCTAATTCCATTCCATATCTGCTCTTAGCTTTCATTAAGGATGCACTTGTGTGGCCTATTCCACATGAACACTTCTGTTCAGACAAGCTCTCAGCAGGGCAGTCAAAATGCATTATTCCTAATTCTGCTTAAGGCTATGCAAAGACAAAGCTATGACAGCAAGCAAATGAAGCTGGTTACAGGTACAAGTAACCTATGAATTAGAAAAAGCTGTTTCTCCAATGAAATATGGCTGAGCAAGAACCTCAAAGCTCCCAGGACTGCTGCACCATTGGACAAGATCATATGGTCTTTATTTGGAGAACAAAATAAAAAGTACATGACAAAAATAAATTTTGCATTAGATTTGCAAATTATTCTGCCAATTAATAAGCAGGGAGGGACTTTTCCTCTTAAATCAACATAAAATCACTATTAACTGAAGTATCTTTTTTCTTTTTTTACCAATTTTCTTGTTCCATAAATAATGCAGATAGTACAAATAGGATTCCAGCAACCAGTCTGGGTACTAGTTATGAAACAACTTAAAATCTTTTATATATTGAAGTTATAATAGCCATTATTTATTAATCCTTAATTAATCCTTATATGCTGTCTTATGTACTTTGGTTTAAAGGATATTTAATTAACAGTTTAAGCCCTGTAACTGCAAAGCCATGTAGCATATTGAAACACCTTTTATTATACACAAAACTCTGGATTTCTTTACACAATTGCCCATGCTGAAGTTTGTCACATGCCTGTGACAAGGCTGTAATGTTGCTTTGAACTGCATAGTATCTCCCCAACCCCATGACAGGATAAAAATTAGTACTTGATGAGCTCATGTCAAAGCCCACTCACCTGCAGTAAAGGTCTCAGAGAACCTATGTGACAAAGGCCACTGGCTTTATACCAATCTTCAATTTCGTTTGGTGTTAATAACATCTGACGTCCCCTGTAATTACTGTGTTCATAAATTATCCATCTATGAGGAGAAAAAAATAAAACAATATTTTAACTGCCAAATTCTGCTTTGGAATCAATAAATGTGTTTAATAGAGATCTGTTCCACAACATAGTAGTGTTTAGCTTTGGAAAGCCAATTACCTTCTTTGTAACAGGCCTTAAGAAAATAAAATAACATCCTGATTTAGGTCGGCCACACTGAGATGGGTTCAAATTTTAGAGTCCTATTATTTAAAAATTACAAGCTGAATGGATCAAAGCATTTTCTTGGGAGAACCCAACTTTTAAATACCATTTGTTTTCAGGAGGCACTCTGGCTCCTCAAGGAGCATAGATCTATATGCTATAAATGCTACATTGCTGCAGGTGCAGAACCAACTGGTTTGTGTATCTGAATTTGGGCAGGCCTGGTTCACATGAGAAAGAACTACTATGGATGCTGCCTGGAACAAGCAAATACTGGAAACTGCAACAGGGTAAAGTTCTCTTGGGTATTTTGATAGAGATGTTATTTTATAACATCTCTCTTCTTTCCAAATACCTGCAGTGGGGGTGGGAAGAGCTAGAGCAAGAGTGCATATAGAAAAAATTTGCTTAGCATTTCCTAACATGCATCCAACTATACTTAAAATCACACACAGAGTGCAATCTGTCAGAACCCAACTTCTGATTCTCCATTATTGGCACAGCCAGTGAATAAAATAGGTTGCCATACAGTGCAATTTCTAGAGTTTTCTCACAGTGATGTGCTGGGTCTCTCTGGCAGTACATGAACACTCAGTATCCTCATTTTCAGGTTACCTCCTTCCTCTACTGATTTCTCACCAGACGTCTCCACCAAGAGGCAAACTCACTTTAATTTTGGTGCTTTTTCACTGCCTAATACACATCTATCCCCAGGTATGAAATTAAGAGAATTATAAATTGAGGTCTCTTAGCAAAGGAAGAGAAGATGAAATAGTCTTCAATAACGGAGGCCACAGGGGCAAGAAAACTGTAAACCCTGTATTTTGACACATTTCAGCAGCTGACACTGCTATAATGAAATCAGAATTTTCATATCATATTCTATGTTTCCAGTGAGCCACTAAAAAAAAAAAACCAAACAAACCCACATATATAGGAAACACACACATTTCACAATTCCATTACCTGGAATAATGATATTTGCCAAGAAGTAACTTTATGTTTCACTTCATGTTATGGAAAGTGAGAATCAACTATATTGTGGTTATGGTGAAAGATACTGAAACCTTGGGAGGCTTCAGAATACAAACATGTACCTTTTCTTACAATCTTTTTTTTTCAAAGTTCAGTTCAGTGTGCTAAGGAAACTCTTTGACCAGCTTATCCTGATGGGGAAAATTATTTGCTCTACAGATTCACTTATTAGTTATCCACTTGAGGGCAGCCTTAAGCTACCCAGCAGCATCTTTCTAGCACACACTTAGGAAATTTACCTCTTCAAAAGAACACATTTAAATGCAGAGCAATAGTAGTAACATGGATCTATCACTAAAACCCAAAAAACCCCAAACTACAAAACCCATCAAAACTGGGGGCAAGTATCTTAGAAGTAGAGGTTAACAATAAGGAAAAAAACAAAAAGAGAATTTAACAGATCTGCTGGAATCCTAGAATATAGGACAGTAGTTTTAAAAATGCTTCCAAGCAGCTTTTAAACTTCATGACAGACTATTTTTTACATGATCTTCAAGGGTACATTTAGAGAACACAACTGCCTAAAAACAGCTGCCAAATCTAACTGCTAGATTCTCATCCAGTTCTTGAAGTAAAAGGGACTATTACTGCTAACACCAAAAGAGGTGAGATCATGGTCTGATTGTACCTTTGTGTCCATAGCAGAGGTTAAAGGATGACCATGAAGACTTATTAAAAATAATTTTGAACTTATGACACAGATCCCAAACCAAATGATTTTTTTTATGACTGAGACCTAAACCAAGAGCACAGAAGTTGGTTTTAGGAATGCTACCCAAGCTGATTTTTATAATATGGCATGAGAGAAGACATGAGTTTCCTTGAGAGCTTTTTTCAAATTCCTTTCAACTCCTAGCAAAGGACAGAGTCAGTGATAACATATCTTTGAGACAGGATATAAAACTATTCTGTAAGACAAAATGGCATTAATGCACTACACAAATTATGATATTCTCATTTTACATTCTGTGGTTCCATTACACCTGTAAAGTTGAGTAAGTACTTAATTCTAAAGAATCAAAAGGTGATTTTAAACTTACATGCCACCAAGGACTTGAACTGAAGCTATTCGAGGATTGTATCCCAGGAACTGAAGATTTAAGATTTCTGTATTGAACTCGATTTTCTTTCCTTGGAAACCCATCTTTTCAAAAAGAGCTATGCAGGGCTCTGACAGCTCCTGCAAAAGGAAGATAAGTGCTTTTATAGGATGTTGGAATTCCAGATGGTGACTGTGAAGATCAGCACTCCACAAACCCCCTCAGAAGTTTCTTTTTGATTGTTTAAGATCAAAACCCCTGAATGTTTCTGCTCTTTAACTCTCTAATTAAACTTGAAAAGTCATAAAAAACCCTTATACAAAATACATGAGGGATCTGCTTGCATGGAACATAAAGCTTCCTCATCTTCGGGCAAAGACCTCTGTGGCTGATTCTTGCACAATACCTTAAGTATGTTTTAAAATACATTTTAAACGATGCTATCTCTCTCTTCTATTGCACTAATCCCCACTGGTGGGAATTTTCATACAAAGAGCTGAACAGACAGTAAGATAATATTGATTTCTACAGCTTCAAATGATGACAGCCTTGTCAGCACTGCTTATCACTTACCTCATTAATTTTTAACTTTTACAGTAGGTTACTGCAATTTCAATCTCTGACTAGACAAACGATTCAAGGTTCATACTACTGAGGTAAAAATTCACCACAAGTGAAAACTGTAACATTTGAATCCTCCAAATTTCTGTGGGGAGGTGATTCTTCTCCTTCTCTGTCAAAATGCTTCTCGTGTCAGAGGGATTCTGCCCATATGAAGCTCTCTGCAACACTGAATCCAATTTGAATGTCTTCTGCAAAAGGGACTTTGGACTCTTTTCTGTGGGGCAAGGTATCTGTAGTGGACTGAAAATAACCTGTCATAATGAAGGCCTTCCTGTGGAAGCTGGGAGGTAGGGTTAGAAATTCCCTGGGGTAAAGTCAATTAAGCCTGAGTGTCTCGGTTTTACCGTGTACACTCATAGACAGAAATGACACTGCCACTCCCATTCTCACAAATCTTCCAGCCAATGACTGTATAACACCAAGGCCACAGCCAGAAGAGCTCCTTCCTTCTGGCATGTGCTCAGTGCACTCATCAACTGGATCGGGAGCGCCTGACATGACGCAAAGTCTCGACAGACTCCCAGCCAGCCTCAGGCATGGAAACAGGCCCTCCAAGGCAGAGCTGGCTCCATGCATGCATGGCAGCTCATCTATGCATGCTTCCATGTGAATTTATTAGGCAAGACCTCCCATCTACCCATTTCTAGACAGAGCTTAAATTCCTCTTTAATCTTCCTTTAGATGTTTAAGGGCTCAGATGACAGCGTTGGATGAGCATCACCATTACCTGCGCAGCAGTCCAACTTATCACAGAGCAGCTGAGCTGTGCTTCCTGATGGAACACTTGCTGCTAGGCTGTGGAAAATGCCAGGAGAGGCCTTTTCATTTTACTCCAAAATCAGAGTATGCTCAGCCCCACCATGAAAGGCAACACCAGTTAGATTGCTATGCACCACCACGGGTAAAGAGCCCAACAGCACCAGTCACACTGTGATGATGTCCCAGTGCCTCTGAACTCACAGACTGGCACCTGTCCTTTGAGACATGCAGCTTCTCAGACAACAGCCTTTCAGCCTCATGTCATGCTTTAGAAATAATCTTCTTGCAAAGAAAACAGAACAGAAAAGGAAATCCTCCAGTTTTCTGTCGCACTTTACACTGGGCATTTTTTTTTTAATTCAGCAGTGACACTGTTATATAAAACAGTGACAAGTGTAAGGTCAGCTCATGAGTTTGCTGTCAGTTCTTCCTGTGTACTGCACTGTACCAAGCTGGTGTTCCTGCAGATCTACATTTAGTTATTCCACAGGGTTACTCATTGCAGATGACTGTTCAAGCATAAACCACATTCACAGCTGTTTTTTATAGTATGCTCGAGAAGAAGAACATGCATCAAATTCAAGAAGGAAAAATGCTATTTTCTATCTATAGCACAACCATGTGGAGCATGCAAAGCAAGCACAACTAAGATATAGTAGAATCTAACCCCCCAAAACCTTTGAGCTTATAAACCTCCCTTAATGTAGTTTCATAAGTTCCTTTATTTAAAAAAGTCTTTTTAGCTTTCACTTACAAATGTATAAAATATCCCTTTAATTTCCTTTTTTTATGGTCCTTTAAAAAGTGATCCTTTCAGAGGGGTGTTTAACTAGGTAAATACAGTAACAAGACATTAAAATAGCAAGGGTGCTTCTTGTATAGAAATGTCATGAAAAATCCTGAGGAAGTTATAGAAATGGCAGATGGTAGGGAGGAATTAAGATTGGTACTGGCAAAATACATTCCCAAATTATGCCTGACAGGTGAAACCAGGAGCTAAAATAATAAGGCTCAGGCTTTTGGAAAATCATGAAAAACAAACAATGTAATTAGTTAGCTAGGAATGATTATTCTTTCTATTCTGGTTTGCTAATAAACCAATGAGCAAAGTAACCCATTCTCCTCTTCTCTGCAGCTAGGGAGCCTCTGAAGAAGGAAGCAGCAGCACATGATTTGCAGACAGATGCAGCTCTGTGCTACTGTCTGAAGCATGATGGAATGCAGGGCTAGAATAAGTTTCACAAGTGTAAAGAACTTAAGCACAGAACTGGCATTTTTGTTTTAACACAGTCTCTGTCACAAATAGCAAATCTTTTAGAAGTAAGCTGATCCTTCCAGCTTGAAACAAGCATTTTTAACACAGGAACTACTGAAATGAAACAAGCATTTTAAAGCCAGGAACTATTGAAATGTATTTAATTCATGGCAATCACCCTCCAAGCTTGGTTAGAAACAATTCTATTGTTTTTAACAGGATCTGCCTACTAGACAGCCAAAGCGTTCAGAAGGGAGACATACTTGCTGTAGTTGTTTGTTTACAGAGTACATCAAAATTCTCAAGAGCCATGAAAGAGGATGACACATTTCTGCTCTCCTTCAGCAACTTCTACACCACTGACAGTAGAGTGCAATAAAGTTGCCAAATTCAAAGAAGAGATTCAATACTGAACTTCTCCTTTTTTAAAACGACTACCATCTCCTCATGTTGCTGTAAGTCCCTGGAATCTTGACCACATTTTGCTAGTAATGACTTTGATCTTAAAAGATACTTGTAGATTCCGTAAGTGATCCATCATAATGATTGGTAATAAGCTTGAGCAAACTCATTCCTGGCCACTGATGAGTTACAAAATATGTAAATGTAAATGTTTGTATCCACCACACATAACAACGCTGCCTGATTTTGCCAAATAGTATGGGGTGTTGCTTTACCTTATCTAGAAGGGTACATTATTTTGTGATTAACTCAAATTCCATTGTCCTGATGATAACAGTGTCTTATAATTACATATATTTCATGCAAAGTTGCTTAATTAGGCCTGCTTTTAAATATGCATCAAAAACAAGGTCCATGGTACAGATATTTCTTCACACCATCCTACCACCTTCTCAGTCCATTCTAAGTAGTCTCTCCTACCAGAAAATAGACTTGACTCTTTACGGAAGTTCTTTTATAAGCTGTTATTAAGAACAGGCATCCGAGACAGTTGCTTCTGTAATGTCTTCTCCTTTGCAAAAACAGCACAGAGGTCAAGAAAACCTGGCTAACTGCATCTAGGACATTTAACTGCTACTGCACAAAAAAAACCCAAAACAAAAGAAAAAAACCAACCCCCCCCCAACTGCTGCCCCCAAACCCTCCTCTGTTGTATGTGTGCCATAGAATTTTTACTGTTGCGAAAAAAATGGGGAGTCATCACTTTCCTTATCTTTACAATATTTTGAATAGGTTTTACTTACAATATTTATGATCCGTAAAGATTTTAGAACTGCTTGGGGTGAACAACCCATTGCTGTCAGATCAGGATAGATCCCTTCTTCCAACACATACTGGTTACCAGCGAATTCCTCCTGGTCATATACTATGCAGCTGTAGAAAGGAAGAGATGTAGTTTGCTCTTGAGACATCTGTGCCAGTAAATGCAGCTGTTACAATGTTTTGTCCTCAAAAATTGATGTGCAAATGGCAAAGCATTGTTCTCTGTAAGTCCCCATATATGAAACCTCCTCACGTGTTAGAAAGCTGGTTGCTTTTCTAAAACTTCTACCATTTTAGTGGTTTTGCAGTATTCATTCAGTACAACTTACCTGCCATCTAAAATTTTTGAAGACTTCACAGCAAATGAGTCAATACATCTTGTGTTTTTTTCAAATATTTGGCAGTTGCCCTTGAATTCAGGCTCTGAAAATAACTGGACCTTTAAAAAGTTATAAACATATTTAAGGAAATTCATTCTTCTACCCTTAGTACATCTCTACCATTAATTCTATAACTACATAAAAATATAACACCCAGACTTCCTTGGTTACCTATGTTTGTCACCTCTTCAGTGTTAAAATCCTTGCTCAAGAGAGCAAAGTAACAATTCCAAAAATAATTCTGGCTGTAAATCACTTACTGACATACAAAGATAACAACACTAACAAGTATAGCATCTTGGTCTATCTGCTGGTTAACATGTTTAAATTCCCACAGAGTGGCCAGAATAGGCAGACATTTATTAAAAGGCCATAAAAATTTTCTTTTATATTATCAATCTGCTTAATCTCCAAAATGCATACTGCTCCCAGTAAATGAAAACTCTCTGCCTCTCAGAACACTACTGGTATATAATCCTTGCAAAGGACTCAGACAATATGCCAATATCCCAGGGTAGATGGGCTTTATGAGTCTGTTACAGCTACAGACACAGTCTCATGTTGGTTCTTTCCCTGCTCCAAGGATAAGACAGGATACATCCCCTAGAGTGTTTTGCCCTTATTAAAAAAAAAAAAAATCTAAGCAGCAAACTTGCTAATTTGGCTAGAGGATAATTAGCTGTGATCACACAGAAGTCATTCACATTACAACATGCCTACCAGCTTTATTCACTCTTAATAGAGATAGGAGTGTGGGCAGGTACAGCATTCTCTAAAGAGGAACACGCTGATGATGGATGCAGTCTGTTGGCTGCAAGCCACTATTTCTTTGTTTCCTTAGAATAAGGTCATCCTTAGGATAGGGTCTTAGTATGCACATAATGTGCAGATGCAAATAATTTTTCATGCACACAGCTGAAAATAAGCAGCCTTGAGATTTTTATTCCCCATAGTTCATGCATTATCCCTATGCAGGAGATTCCAGTGAAGTGTGTTACTAATCAGGAGTAGCAAACCAGGACAGCTAAAAATTGTCTCCTTAGTTTTTAAGGCTATGATATACTCACTACTTTGAAATGAAAATAAAAATAACAATAACTTTGTACAGAGACAAATCTGAAAACCTGAAAAGATTCAGAAATTAAGAAGGATGAAAAAAGCTGCCCATTAGCCTCACTGTCAAAACTACATTATTAGTACTTGCACAAAGGAGACAATCCAATGTAGAAATATATTAACTCACTGAACAGACAAGTTCTCCTGGCCACTTCCTTCCCTTATGCTATTGACAAAAATGGCATTAACTTTTAAGAACAAACTCAGCAGTATTTGTGAGTGAACAACTCCCTTCAAGTGCAACCACCACTAGCAAATTAACCAAAGAAATAGGTTCAAAAGGAATTAAGTCAGTGGTACCAAGAACAACAACATCTATCCTGTAGTGTTCTCACCAAAACAACATCTCTGTTGTATAGCCCTCACCTCAGCAACACACTCCAGGTCCTGCACCTCTGCATAGAGGGCTGTGGGCTCCAGCTCTATAAAAATCACTGATACCCCAAATTACCTCACTTGTTGAACCAAGACATTGTCATTACCCTAAGAAAGTTCTGATGGCAATTGTGTATCAAATCCCACCTTCCTTGGGTCTTAACATGCCTTACTCAATAGGTCTGGAAAGAAGCTTTCCTCCACCTGCAGTCTTCACTCTCTGACTAGTCAGCCATCTATGCAAATACCTGAATCCTCCCCTGGACAAACAGCCACTTCTTTTTTTGCATGTTACAAGACACCACGCAGTATGTTTCATGTGCTTAGAGAAGCATCTTACCTTGACTTTACCCCTTTCGCTTCCAACAATATCCTGCAAAAGTTTTGAGGGAAAGAAGGGAAAAAATATTTTCAACAGTGATAAAATAACACAGAAAATTTACTATTAATTATCATTTAAATAATGTAAATAAACGGAATTTGACAGAAAAAGTAGAGTTCCAAATACTTCAGAGAGACTTGCAAAACAAGTAGAAAATTAGATCCTTACCATAACAATGGGTTGAACTGAAGATATTTTGCAATTCTTTGCCCCCCATGCCTCAATGCTGGGATACAGCCCTTTAGCCAGTATATACTGCTCCCCTGTAAACTCAGGATTCTCGTAAGCCACCCATCTAAAAGAGAAAGAAGAGGAGGGTGGTTGGTAAAAGTCACACTGCTTCACTAAAATACAGATTCATTACTGTCTTAATGTAAAAACAAATAAAAAGTTATTTAAGTGCCAAATTATGATGCTGTTAAAACCCTAAACAAACCAGTGTATCTGATAGTGCAAATCCTATGCAAATTTTACTACCTTCTTCCACTATGTTGATACAAATCAGAGTGAATTAGCTAAAGTAAAGCACAAGTTCAGACACATCATATATCCTAAAATAATATTTCAAGATGTTTTACATTTCTATTATTTTACCAAGGTCAAGTTCTTAACAAAAAACAAAAAACAAACAAACAAACAAAAAAAACCCAAAAAAAAAAAAGGCAAAAACACCAGACAGATAACAGAATAATCAGAATACAGCTTTTTCAACAAAACTAATGTTCAGAGTAATCTGGGCAGTAGCAATACTGACTTTTAATGTTTCCTGTAGCTACAGCTCAGTTGTGTTTAAGCAAGTATATACCTCAACAGGATGCTGAGCTGCAACAACAGGCATATCTGCTAAGCAGAGGAGACTGTTCCCTGCTAGGAATCAGAGAGAACAAGAAGAATATCAATGAAAGCTAAGCATTAAATCCACCACAGATTTGACCAGATCAATGCATTTAAATGCAAGGCTGTTATTGTAACTACTCAGTTGGATCTCATGCTTGACATAGGCCACAAACTCAGAGGTCTGCATCAAGTCTTCTGTCTCAGTCAGAATATGCCTTTTTGAAAGACTTTCAACTTTTGACATCATACATACCTGAAGAACTGGAAAAGCAACCAAATCACTACATCTTTCTGATGCCAAATTATTCCTGCAGACTTCAGGTCCAGTCTTAAATATCTGCTATCAGTTAGTCTTGCTAAGAATAGTCTACTACATTCAAGAAATCTATTACAGTGTTCTTCTAACCCTGGTTCCATACTGAAAACCCAAACAGAGCACTTTCTGTGTCTGTATTACCTTTGATTTTGTCATAACCTTCAGAACTTGACTTGTTTTTTGCTGCGATACTTCCCAAACTTTCTCATACTTACAACTCTTTTTTTTTTTTTTTTTCTTTTTGTTTTTTTTTTTAGTGCCCATATAAGATGAGACCACAGCAAGCAGCTGCATTTTGTTCATTATATTTATGCAGGAATCAGGACAATTTGCTGGTTTCCTGATTCTACAAGAAAAACTTCTACTCAGAGTCAACCTGCTTTTAATTTTAGCCACTGTAGTTCATAATGAGTGTATGCCAGGTTATGCCAAAATCCACTTTCAGTGGGCTCAGAAATTCACTGAGTTTCTACACTAACAAAAATTTCATATCATAAAGCAGCAAAATACAGATCTTAAAATCTGCAGGGAAAGATAACTCTCAACATCAAAATTCCCCATTAATTTATGTGTGTCAATCAATTGGATTCTACTAAGCTGCAGTTTTATTCCAACTACGAATGCCAGAGCCTCTGCAGATACAAGAAGTGGGACAACCTCAAACTGAAATAAAGGTGCATCAGCATGTAAGTGCCTAGAGTATGAACTTTGTTTTATTTGTCCATTGCAAACATTCAAACAGTGATTCACATACATCACTATTCACATCTCTTGGTTTGCCTCAGATATAATCAATTATTCCAACTTGTTATGCACTAATTACTTACGGCATATTTCAAGGTCCATTTCAAAATCACCTCAGAGTAATTCATCAAAGAGACATTGGTATGTACAATAAATTGAGCAGAGTTCAAATGTCTCAGGTGTGTCTATACCTGTATACCACATATGCCAAAAGCAGTGAAAATTAGGTTTCCTTAAACAATTCTTCAGCAGGCATTCATTAGATTCAGTGCACAAGTGCCAGGATACCCCTATAGTGTATGGTAGCTTTACTTGGTTGAGATCTATGCAAAAAAGTGTTTCTGATACAAAGTGAACTGTAAGACATATCAGCAGCCTCCTAAGAAAGCCTTGATAGCAGTTATTTAGTTCCCCCCCCCATCTAAAAACAAGCCTGAATGCAGAAGTAACCAACAAGTCTCACTTGCACATGTTTACATCTAAATAAATGGGATTTTAATCATTAAGTGCCACTCTTCTATGCAAGTCAGCCCATGCAGTTTAACAGTTCCCAGAGCTGGGGCTTAATGGTGAAATACTTGTGCTTCTCCACTTCATTCAGAAGCCCATATAAGCTGCTGAAAGTAGTAATAACATCATCAAGGACAGGCACCTGAATTCAGTACCAGCTAAACCTGCCAGACCTCAAGATTATTCCTAGGAAGGAGCACTGCCTTAATCCAACTTCTGACTTCAGAGAAAGGCCTGGAGAGCAAGATATTGCCTCCACAGCTGAGTAGGAGAGCCACATTCCAGCTGCCAGGCACAACAAAAACTGAAGTGCTGCTCTGCAGCATGGCAGCAACCATCCTGCCCCACAGGGAGTGAGCTCTCCTAGCACAACAGATTTTGTAATCCCCAGATGCACAAACTGCATTAGTGAGGCTGAGCAACAGCTCCATCCCAGGCTGCTGGAGACTTTCCTCCTGGGCACCATCCATGCCCCTGACACCAGAAGTAGCATAAAGCTTTGATTATACATTGTTAGTATTATTACACACAGAGAATCTTTCTCCAAAAACCTCTACATATGATATCTAGGAAGTGCAGCTCCAAACAGGGTCTGAAAGTACAGCCAAAAAAATAATCCAGACATGGGTAACTCACCAAAAATCAGATTTGCCCTCAGTTAGCCCAGGACTCACCTTGTCCAAACTTTAGGAGGGAGGTCAGAAAGTTAACTAGCACTTGCAGATTTGTACCATAATTAATAGATAGGAGGAGGTAACAAACTTCTATTTATAGGAGGGAGAAAATGGGTTCACCATACTCCTTTGTGACTGTGATTGTTAGTATCCCAGGGACTCGTGAGCTTTAATTTTATGATTCCTTGAAAGGTTTTTTCCTGAACATCAGTTCAGATATACAGAGAAGTTAAAGCTTTGTTTGAAGTGTTCTCCAATGGGGTAACCAAGGGGATATCTGTGCCCTTTTCAGCTCACAGTGGAGGTATGTTCTTGTACCTTGTGTCTCCAGTTTCACTCATGTTAACTTCCTGAGTGCATCTAGGTAAAATTTAATACCTTCTATTTTCTGTATATGAACCACTTATTACCTAATTATTTCCTTAATATCACTCACTATCCATACATACTCTAGAAGCAACCCTAATCTACATTGTGGATTAATTACTTGAAAACTAGGGGAAAACCAGGCTGATAACACAACCACAGTAAACAGATGACTACATAAAATAAACAAATCTAGGAAAATTCTTCCAGCAAGTTCAAAGGGAATCAACTAAAAGACAAAAGCTTCTTCCGGAGTTCTGGCAAATGTTTGGTGTGTTTATGGATAAAGAAAAGGCACATTTCAAACATGCAGTTCCTGTGATTTGGATCACTATTAAATAAAAGCCTGAAGAAGTTTTTAAGCACAGGGGAAATCAAAATAGTACAACACTTGATTTTAGTACTTGCTTGAACTTGTAAAGGGTGTTACCTGTTGCTAGTAAATAGTTCCATTTTCCACCACTTCAAATTCTGCCAGTTTGGAAGTAAAGTTCAAACCCTACTTAAAGCCTGCTTTCTCCCACCCTAATGGCAGAAAAATAATTTTTGAATTTTATGTTTGGCTAGTCTCCAAAAAATGCTCAAGCACAAAACATTTTCATTTTTCAAGAAGTGCATTTTCATTCTTCAATAAGTCAATCCTCATCTCCTTAGGATATATTTTTCAGGATGTCTTTACAATGGATTTAGCAAAGACATGAAAATATTGCTTGGAAACATGTTAGAAACATTTAGAAATTTAGAAATTTTAATGCAGCTAGTGCCGAATTGCCCCAAAATGGAATAGTCACTCCCCAAATGCAGAGCTGGGCTGTCTCCAGCAATACAGTTCAGAGCTGCAGTTGAGCTCAGAACTTGTTCCACAGTATCTGTGCACTGCAGTGTCAGGCTTTCTTTTCTTTGATATACTCTTTAAATTACAGAGCAATCAAATTAATTATGTGGGAAATACTGATCATCTGTTATCTTACTGATCTAACTGCTTACTCCAGATACCTGTAGTTAAAAAATTGCAATGAAAGGTTGAGGCCTTCTTAAATTTTTGACTTATTTTAATTAAGTGTTTTCAATATAATACCAAGAAGGTTACTTTGAAATATTATGACAAGCTTTTATTGAATCTGTCACAGTTCACTATGTCATCTGCATTACAGCCTAAACAACTCAGGAAATTGCTCAATGGATTATTCACTGCTCTGTGACAGATTTCTTGGAAGGAAAGATATAAAAAATCTTCTACCTGAACAGACGGTTAACACTTAAAATGAAGCACTGTATTGCCAAACATGACTTCACACAGATCATTCCAGCTTTCTGACAAATTAAAATTTAGTAAGATCACCACAAAACCCCCAAACACTCACAACCTTTCTGGAAACAGAGGGGTTGTACAAAACTCTTAAGAGCTGAGTCCTAGCCGCCTGACAATGCATCTCAATTTTTTAAAAGCTTATTGCTACAAATTACATCTTTTGGAGTCTACAGGGGTGGTAGCAGGGTCTGTGGGACAAGTTTTGTTCATAAAGACCTCTAGCCACCTTTGCCATCAGAGTGTTAAAGTCACTCTTAATTACTAGAATACTCAAATTCACGTATGATTCCTATCTCAGATGCAACAGACAGATTTACTAGAACAACTACATGAAGGGCATGATAGGTAATCCACAATTTGTTTCCAAACCTTCAGAGACGACTCTTTCCCAGGAATCTCTCTGGCATATTACAGAAGACAAAAGAGCACAGTGGCTTCAAAGGTCACCAGGCAGAAAAAAAACCTGCTGTCACACCATATTCATATACAAATTAAAAGCATTCCTCTGGAATGCACGAGCTTGATTCTGCAATCTTTATCCAGACAAAACTTGCAGAGATACAGCACAGATAACACAGGGGAAGATTTTGGGTGTGGCTGGGTAAGGCAGAGCTTCCAGCAAGTCAACTGCATGCACTCCAGCCAGGGAGACAGACTGTACATCTCATGCTTTTTGGTTCTGCTACTTTAGTTAATTTTTTGTGTGTTTGCAGCCATGACTGCTAATACTTATTGGCATTTCCAAAATACTTCGTTATGGTCTGTAAGGCTGTGAAACTCAATCTGCAGTTGATGGACTCAACTAATCAAAGCAAAGTCTATCAGCTGATCAACTGCATGTGATAGCACTTGTGGCACTAAGAGTTGGTTTGTTAATGGCCATGGCTAATACAGACTTTTGGGAATCATATGTTAAAAAAAACCCAAATAAAAACCAACACTACAGCACTATACCACTGTTAAACCTACAGGACTCACTGCAAAAGCAATGTTAATTTTCAGAACAGTTACTCTCCCTAATATCAGAAGGTATTAGTGAGCATAGTAAAAGTTATCTCTATTTAAAACACGAGAGCAAGGAATCTACCTCTGGTCAAATGCAAGAAGCCTGGAAATTAGTTTCAAAACTGGAAACTAATTCCATAACAATTTTGCTGTTGAAATGCTTCAAACAAATGCAGCCACAAGAACAAGCTATTTCTTCCTCTCTTGATGAAATGTCATCTCATGCTTTCATACTCTGTGTATGTTTTCTGGGACCATTTTATCTTATTATAAGAAGAAAGATGATTTACTGTACATATTCACCAAAACTTTACTTTTCACATTCTGTCGCCAAGGGCAGAAAATTTTGTCCAAAGACTCTACAAAGAAGTCAAGAGTCCTGAGAAACATCTGCAAACACCATCAATTTTTATAAAGACCAGCATATCTCAAATGAAAGAGTGAATAAAAATATCACTTACACGCCACTTAGCACATTTATAGACTGTGTCCTCAGCCCATATCCAGTGTCTTTCAAATTGGAAATGATACCTAACACATTGATATTGGAACCCTTTGGTCCGAAGTCTTTTTCACTGTACATTATCATATGGGAGCTTGTGAAGTCCTGTCAAAACAAAGAGAAGCACCATAAGGAAAGTGCCACATGACACCTCAGAGCAGTCAGGAGACACCTACTATATGTTCTTGGAACTTACACCAACAATTGGTCGCAGGGACTGCACCTCCTCATCGTAGCCACCCCAGTCTGTCCAATCCCGATATGCTCCTTCTTCTAGCAAGTACTGATGGCCTTCAAACCCAGGCTTCTCGTAAGCAACCCAACTGAACAACAACAACAGAGTCTGCATGTGAAAATGGACAAGTGCCACTCCATGTTTTCATGAAGCAGATATAGATAGGTAATATTTATTCTTTTGCTGTGAATATTTTAAAATTTAACCCTGGTGTATACCTCAACCCAAAACAAAATAAACAAAACAAAATAAACAAAACAAAATAAACAGGGACTGGATTTGTCCACTGCAACTTCCAGCCTAGGAAGTTACTACTTCAGCTGAAGGGTAAATACCACTTTTCCACACTTACACTCCTCCCAGTACTTTCATGGATCCCACCGATGTAAGTGGAAGTCTTGTCTTGTCTTCTGATTCCTTGTCATCAAGCATAAAGATCTCCGATTCTATTTCCACATGTCTTCCTTCAAAGAAAGGCTTCTCATATACAATTACCTGGAGCAGAAATGAAGGAAAAGAAAAATTGCAGGGAGGATGATGAATTCTAACAATAGACAGTTTCTTTTGCATGGGCACGTAAAGGGAGAATGCAAAATGATGAAACCAACTAGCGGGATCTCTGTCTCCTTTACAAGAGGCCTTTCCACTAGAGATGCAACATGAGGGCTTGAGCATTCATTACCCATCTGCATTATCTGGATTGCTGTTAATATTGTCATATATGCATGTAATGGATGCAGAAATGTAACAGAAGTTGTATTTTCACAGTTTGGTCACATACAAAAGGACTACCCAGGAAACCATCAGCAGCTGGCATCCAATCAAAGCACACTTATCTACCCACGTGTAGTTCATGTGCTGTAAAATAGCTTTGGACAATCAATACCGACCATCAATACTGACTTTTACCTTTGGCTCCCCACTGAATTCAACTTTGCGACCACCCTGTTAAAAGGAAGAAAAAAAGAAGAAAAAATTAAGCTGTTCATGAGTCAGACAACTTATATATGTCTCTAAGAGTCATCAATTCTTTACAAGAGTAAGGTCAAATATTCCTTTAAGAGTGCAAGTGAAAATATATGGCAGATTAATGGCAGAAATGGATGCAGTCAAATGTTTTAAGTTCAAGAATTTTATAGACTAAAAATCTTAGGGTTTTTTAAAGAGATTTTTGTAAGTCTTGAAAAGTCTAACCACCTTAATACATTATTTCTAGCACATAAACATAGGTCATTTAACTTCTAAGTAACAGCAGTAATTTACCATTTTCAAGGGTCTCATGGACCTAATGTAGGCTTCTTTCTTCTCCCAGAATAATAAATTAGGATATTCACCAGGCTCCAACATTAGAGGGACTCCCTGGAAACCAGGTTCTTCATAAAGAAGCCATCTAAAAGTAGAGAGGTGGAGGGACAAAAGTAAGACATAAAACCCCCGGAACATTTCTGAACAGTAAAGAACCAGATAATATGCTTACTTTAGGAACAAGATTGTTGCTCCCTTTAAAGAGAGATTCCAAGCTAATATAAACTGGCTCAAATTGGTATAGTTTCATTGCAGACACACGGCTCCAAGAAACAAGAAAGGGACTGTAGTTTTACATTTGTCTATAGCTGAATGTTTGATACATTGTGGTCACCCTATTCACACCACTCAGTAAGCTTTTGGCTTTTGGCTGGTCACACCTGGTATTTCCAGGGCTCAGTACTGGGGTAAATTCTGTTTAATACATTAATATTAATGATTTGGATGAGGGGATTTGAGTGCTCCCTCAGATGTTTTGCAGATGACAAGAAGTTCGGTGGGAGAAGTGGTGATCTGCTGAAGGGTAAGAAATCTTTACAGGGGGATCTGGATCAATGGGCCAAGGTCAATGGGATGAGGTTCAACATGGGAAAGGGCCAGGTCACACTGCCAAGGAGTGCTTCAGGACTGAAAGTAGCTGAAAAGCTGCTTGGCAGAAAATGACCTAGGGGTGCTGGTCAACACCAATTATACTTAAACCAGCGTGTGCCCAGGTGGCCAAGAAGGCCAATGGCACCCTGGCCTGTATCAGCAATAGTGTGGCCAGCAGGACCAGGGCAGTGACTGTCCCCATGTACTCAACACTGGTGATGTCACACCTCAAATCCTGTGTTTCAGGATCAGAGGATCAGTTTTGGTCCCCTCACTACACAAAGGACATTGAGGGGCTGGATCATGTCTAGAAGGGGACAATGGAGCTGGTGAAAGGTCTGGAGCACACTTATTAGCACAAGTCTAATAAGAGTGGCTGAGGGAGCTGGAGGTGCTCAGCCTGGAAATAATGAGATGCCAGGGAGACCTCATTGCTCTTTACAACTGCCTTGAAAGGAGGTAGTAGGCAGGTAGTGACTGGACAAGAGGAAGTGGCCTCAAGCTGCACCTGTGGAGGTTTACACTGGATATTAGGGGAAAAAAAAAATCACTGAAAGAGTTGTCAACCACTGTAATAGGCTCTTTAGGGGAGTGGTGGAGTCACAATCCCTGTAGGTATTTAAAAGATGTGCAGTAGTGGTGCTTAGGGACATGGTTTAGTGGTGGACTTGGCAGTGTTGGGTTAATGGTGGTACTGGATGGTCTTATAAGGCCTTTTCCATCTTAGAGGATTCTGTGACTAACTTCACTGCAAGAACTGACACACATGGAAGAACAAGGAGAGAGTACAGTCAGAAGATAAAGGTGTATTGACTCATTTTTGTTGGCAGCTTTTAACAAACAGCAATTAAGCATGAACACTGGGAAATTTTAAGATGATACAACCACACCCACATGGCAAGGTGACTCAGAATCGGAGCCTCCCTCACCTGCCAACACAGTGAACTATGTCATGCCTGTAAACTAAAGGTAAAAAATCCCCCAATCCTACAACATGCAAAAAAGCAGCAGCCATCTGCAGAATTTCTCATGGAAGCAACTTCTTTCTACACTGGACTAATAAACAGATATCTGAGAAAGATAGTAAAAAATAATATATTTCACTTCCTAGTAAAAATACTAGTCTGCTTTCCTTCACGGATACAAATGCAAGAGAGAGAGATTAATATAGCAAGAGTTCACGTAGATTTAGTAAAACAATGCTGTTACACTAGTGCAAAATAAAGACAACTTGGATGTGCGCAGGCTCTGCCTCCTTCCCAAAAAATGTGTAATTTTACTGGTCACAGATAGCTTTTAAGTGAGACAGAAATAAAGTGGAGACACAGATTGAGTGAATTAACAATCAACCTCCAAATAACATATCTGATTTCATTACTCTTGCAAGACATGTAATTTGTATTGGGGTTGCTGTTCATCAGAAATAACTTCCTGTCAGAGAACCAACTACTTGGACATCTTCAAATTTTCCTACATACCAAAATGCTTCATTTTTTTTTCCACAAATCAAGGTGTAAATATTTACTCAGATGAAATACCCTTCACCTAACAACAAAAATGTCCACATATCATGTGGTAGATTTGAAACATCTTTGCAGTGATATGTAACACCTGCCTTCAGTTGGGCAGTTTTTGATAGACTATTTGCAGCAAGGCAAGTGCTATCAGTTCCCAAACGTAAGAGCAAACAACCAAAGTCTGTACACCCTGTAAGTTCTGCAGGATGAGTGGAAGTGGCTCCAGTTTCACTTTTTCTAAAAGAAGCCTCTCTTCTGCATACTTTTCCCAGTACTACTTTGAAGCATGTTTTCCATAACAATTTACTAGTTTGTTTATTAAGCCATGAAAACTAATATTGGTACAGCACCTGGATTGCTCCTTAGAGATCTCCTTTCTCATAAAAGCTTGCTTAGTTCACAATATTACCCTCCTAACTCAGATGGCCAGATATTTTCAGGTGACATAACATCTTTGTATTACACATCACCATAAAAGCCCAGATCAAAATGCACTGTGAAATACAACAACTCTCTAAAGCACTGTCTTAGTTTATAACATAATGACTTCAAAAATTTTCTTCTTTTAGTAGGATGATTTCAAGTTTAGAAGAAAGCAAGTGGGAAATGTGGTCTTATTATAACAGTTGATTCCCCACCCTCATTTATGGTAAGCTTGCCTGAATAAGAAAAAGCAAGAGAGGCAAACTCTTATTCCTTGGCTACAAATATGCAAGGGTTATTCAGTATTTACTACACGCAAGCCGAAGAAAATCTAGCTCTAACAAAACATTCTAGGTCAGACTCCCCAAGAGTGAAGCATTACAGTGATGTACTAACACTACTGTCAACAAATATACTGCTAAAATATAGGACTAGAATAAATATAGCCTGCTCGCAAGTCTGACAGGTGTAACCAATGGTTTAAACCAAATTCCTGTCATCACACTACACATTCATACAGAGCTGCATACTTACATGCCCCAATGCACTTTAATAGAACAAGTCTTCTGAGTGCTTCCAAACACCCCTGTTTCTTCAGTGTCATCAAAAAAGGAAGTCACGATTCCTAACCCTTCAGGCTCTGTATACAAATCAATTCGGCAAACCCTGTAATCCTGAAAAATAAAGATTGTCATAACCACTTGATCTGTGCTGTGAGTTCTGTAATTACTGTGCATAACTAAATCAGTTTTGAAACACCTGTTTATTTTAAATTGTTTCCCCCCTCGTCAATTACTACTGCTATTAGATGCCTATAATAAAAGTATAGCTAAGCCAGTTTGCCTGTCTCTGTTTGAACCAAGACAGTCAGTCAATCTCTAATCAGCATTTGCATTGTTTACTTTCTGCCATCTAGGCAGGAATCCATCTTCTTTCATCAGTTAGCATCTCCTCTAGCAAATTAAATACTAAGATAATACCAAAAGAGCCACCCTTGAAGAGAACTGCAACTTAAACAAGAATTGTAGTTACAAGCAATATATATTTGTCCTTTTTCCTTTCCTAGTCAAATAACTTTATAGCTTGTGCTTGTTTTGGCAACCTGCAATTGTAACTATTTAATAGTAGGTTAAAAGTGCATGTAGAAAGGATGTTCCATCATGTGTGCAACTCACTGGTAAGTTTGTCCATACCAGGCAGACCATAGTTTGGTGTTTCACATTGAAGTCTGTATTGAGTGCAAATTTGGTTTGTATTGGAAAAAAATGAAAAAGCCATATTTTGAAAATATTGAATTATTGATGGTTTTCTGGGATGCTTTTCCTGACACTCACCAGACTACAAAGCATATGCTGTATGTAGTATTTTGGTGGCTACTCTAATAAAGCCCACCAAGTTCTGTTCTATCCTGTCCTTCCTCTTGATGTTACCGCAACGCCCACTGTGCAAAAGACCCCACATGCATTTTGTGATTAAACATGAAATTCAATACAGAATATTGTTTCATGCACTTGTAGCTCATGTTATGTTTGTGTCCTAATAGACCAATCATACTCCCTATCAGTATAAAACATGACTATACATTAAGATCTATAAAAAAAATTTTGACTTATATTACTTGCCTTAACAACATGTCTTATTGAACCGATCACTGCAGGCTTTTGAGAATTGTAGTCACTTTGCTCTTCAGAAGCACCTGCACCCCAAATATCTGTGAGTTCCAACTCTCCTTCTTCCAATGGAATAGAGGGGCCTTCAAAATTTGTTTTTTCATAGAGTATCCAGCTTAAAATAAAATTTAAAAAAAAATCTAATTTTTCATGGTGCTTTATCAAGTGTGATTTGTAAAAATTATGTTCCCACTTAACAAATTGTTTCATACACAGTACTGTTTCCAAACCCTTGCTATTTTCCCAATGCAGCCTAATCACCCAACACTGCTGATGCAAGCCATTTTCAGTCTCTGTGACACCTTTACAAACAATGATAAAAACAAAAATATCTACTGCTGAATTGTACTTCTTTCACAAAAAACTCCTCCACCTTTTAAAATTTATAATTTGTGGCAGCAAAGACTACTGTCTCTCAATAGCAGACTTCGTATGAGATACTAATCAGAACCAATTTGTAAATCAGAGAAAACAATGACACTGCAGTCTGCTACATCATGCTTAGATCCTGTGAACAACAGCATGGAGTTCCACAGGAGCTGGGGTAGATGTTCCAGAAGATGATAAGAAGACAAGGACAGCTTCATTTTTAATGGCAGAACAGAATATATAACTAAATAAGAACTTTATCCATCTGCAAATATAAACTCTTCACTCAGGCTCTCAAAGGAGGGAGGAAAAAACCCTATATCCAGTCCCTGTAGACCATGCTAGAAAAGACGACCTGGTTTAGAGAGATCAAAAGGTTTTTGTTCTAGTTTTCTGAAGCTAAACAGCAATCAGTTTGCTTCCCAGTACCTCCTACTGTGGCTAGCCCTTGTGTCTGCACCTTACTATCAGATAATTACTTTTGAGAACCTGCTATTTGACTGCATTATAGCCTGGCCACAGCATAACTTGCTGTGCTAGCCACACTACTAATGGCCCTTCTGTGGATGCTATGAAGAAAGCAGGAGATGAACTGGCTTTGAATTATTCTTGGGCAATACAGCTTTTAGAGCAAAATCCCTCCTTTTGTCATTGAAACAGTCAATTATCTCTACAGCACCATCCTATTCCTTTGGTCATGAAATAATTATGTAAGACTGAGCTTTAAACTTATTTGCTAGCCTTTTAGCCCAATCCAAATACTATGCAAGAATCCCTAATGAGGAGTTGAAGAGAATCTGTCATTTCATCCCACACCTATGCCTAGTGAAATCTCGCACCCCATCAGATGGCAACACTCACTCAATTAGTCAGCAAAATAGGTTTTCCAGCTCAGAACTTCCTGTTGCGGAGGTAAAATGCCCTATTTCTTGCTCATAGCTGTCCATTTACAAGGCAAACTTACTGTGAATCACATTCCAGTTCTGTTTCAAAACAGTTTTGGACAGAGTAAAAAATCTTTGTATAAAGAGTAAAAATGGATCTCTTACCATCCTCTGATGACTTTAACTAAAATTGTTGGTGACAGAACCCAAGAACTGCAATCTGGAACATCATGGAAAACTTCAATGCCAGCTTTTTGACAGTCTGAGTCACAGTATATCACCAGCTGCATTAAAAATCCAAACAAAACAGAAAAACACACCAGTAACATACAGTTCTATCTTCCTAAGTTTTAAATATAGAAAGGAACACTAAAACTATTAAAATTGATCTTACCTTGCCAGGTCTGGGATTGATTTTATTTTGTCCATTTCTTGGAAGTGTCTAATAGACAGTGAGAAGAGAAAAATTCACAAAAAAACCCACAAAATCAAAAACATTTTCAATACAGATACTCAGCTATAAAAAAAAGAACAAAATAAACATACTCAAAAAATACTCTGAATAGTAAAAGTTAATAACCTTTCAACTATACCTAATTACCACTTCAATCTCTACTTCCCCTTGTAGAGCAGCATCTAGTCACAAATGTATAAAATTATACACTTTTCTAAAACTCTGAATTATCATCTCATTGAAGTCGACTAACCTCAGATCTGAAATGCTTTAAAATCATCTTGATCAGCTTCCTACACATTCCAGGATTTCAATGCCAAGAGACTGCTTTAAAAACTGCCACTGATACAGTACATGCTGTACAATGATAAAGATGAGTTGAAATGTGTAAAAATGTCAAGCCATAAAGCACGATGCATTTTGAAGGAATATATGAAAAGACTGAGGATGCATGATGGGACATACATGTATGAGCAAGCTAGCATAATCAATTTTGTGATGAACACCTTGTTTCCTCAAAAAGCATGAGACTGCACACTAAGTGATAAACTAAAAATATTCAGAACAAAAAAACACACGTAGGTATATAAAATCTACAACAATGCTGAAGTCAGCAGTAAACTGTATGATACAGAATATATGGGAAAGTTGTGGTTGCATCACATCACCTTCAAACAAATAAAGCAAGCATTGAAATGATGTGTTTGGTTTCCTAAGGAAGGACAGGAGTGCTCATTCTGGGACAGGGTCCTGCTCTTCTAGGAATGATTCACACAAACAAAAAGACAAAAACAGATCCTGCCCCTAAATAGGTAACCAGCAACACGTGCAAGGAATTAAAGAGAACATAGTTAATATGCAGAGCAGGCAGTGGTCCTAAGACTGTTCTTCACCACCACCAGGTTTTTGTAGGCATCATTAATACATGTTGAAGCATGACTGGTTTTTTAGCCTGCGCTTCAATTCCAGTTAAAACTTGTTCTGTGTTTTGAGGAATGACAAAGTCATTGTTTTGGGATGCTCTTACTCTTTCCTTCGCATGACCCATTAGCCATTGCATCATTATTTTCTTAGTCAGTGGAAGATGCACAGCAGGTACACTTCACAGAAACATTTTTGATTCCTAACTTAAGCAAAACAATTCAGTCAGCAACAGTAGCACAGAAATACAGAAACCCTTTGAAGCCTAAAGGGATTCTCTCAAGTGTGGTCTTAGGTATGTACAGACTCCACTGCTATATCAGGCCTCCACGCTCTACTGCAAAATTGAAACCCACTCAAGAACAACAGTTTAAGTAGCAAAAACCAAACTAAGACAGTACTAGACATTTAGCTTTAAATTTCAGCTTTTAAATCCAAGCAGAACCATCAGAGTAAGAAAGCTTCTTTAACTGGTAACAAAAATCTACTCTACTGTAAATAACCCTCCTAATTTTCATCTCCACTCTAATTAGGAAAACTTCCCATAAGAGAAGAATCTACATTCTCAAAACTGCAAGGTACCATGGATGATTGTCTCCTGCAAGGTGACAAAGAAAGGAGCTAATTCTAAGTTGTCACTCCTTTTAGTAGAACTGCTACAGCAGATGACCATTAGCTTCTGAAAGTATTTCTCAAACTTCTTACATGCTGCTTCAATTCCACAGGTGACATTCATGTAGCTATTAGTCTTCAGAAAACATATTTTTTCCCATGGTTCTTAGATTTCCTGAATATAGTTTTCCTCACAGGTTACAATAAGGCCTTACATTAACAGAAATAGCAAATACTACCGGACATTGTTTCATCATTTTAAAAACAAAAATTACAAATATATTCCATATTAAAGTTGCTTTGAGGGGAAAATATAGGTCTGTCTTCAGTCAGGAAGAACAGATGCTTGTAATCAGACCAAGGGACAGCCCTCCACTGTAGCAGCATTTTCAATAATCACTACTATCCAGTTCTTAAGGTATTCTTAAAGAATATATATTTTTCTGCCAATGCACAGGAATACAACAGAGGGCTAAAATAAAAATGTGCTCTGTTACTTATTTAATGGTACAATGGCTGAATGTCTTGTTGGAAGAGATTACTTCAACAGAAGTTTTCTGAAGTCCACAGAAAGCATTCTACTAATTTGCAATAAAAAACTGAAGTTAGCATAAGATTTGTTTCAATATAATACAAAATCAAGTATGAAGACATATTCAAAAAATGCTTTCCATTCATATTTGCAAAAAGTCTCAAAATAAAAACCCCTTAATTATATTGATAGATGTAATCTCATTTTCAGATCAAACTGGTACCATACCTAAGTTCACCTCAATGTATTGGCAATCTATATATTTCCCAAAGAAGGGAAACAAAACAATATATGTATATTGTCTATCGAAAATATAAAAGCTGGATAACTTTGCAGGCAGTTTTTTAAAACACAATACTTACATCCACATCTAATAAACCAGGGGGGACATTTGATTCGTATCTGCTTGTTCCTAACCAGCTCGAAAAACCTTTCTCAGGATTGCCATAGTTGGGCATTTGTAAACTTAGTTCTTTTTTTGCACTATCTGCTTGCAGGTACTTCTCCACAAAACTTGGAAACTTCATATCTGAAAGAGACTGAATTGCAAAATCAAAATTAGCAATCATTCAGCAGGTCAACAAATATGGTTTCATTTCCTGACTGATCTTTATTACCTCAGATTTTTGAGGCATGATGAATGGCCCAGAAACATCCTGTTGTAAAGGAGGCATCCCCGAGGAGTCAGTTGCAAAACCTGTTGTGTTATTTACTGAAGTGACAGAAGTGCTAAAAAACTTCTCTTTAGAAGACAGCAAGCTTGAGAAGAGGGAGCTTTTTTCAAGCCGTGATCTCTTAATTTCACCATCTGTACAATCAAGATTCTCTTTTCCATTTATTTCCTGAGTAAAGGCAGGTTCCTCTCTACATGACTGCAGAGCTTTGAATATGATACTTTGTTCCGTTGATGCACGTTTGGGCCTGACTCTGGCTATTGTTTCCAAGCTTTGCATTTTCATTTGCTGTGCTGGTAACAGATCCTGTGTTTTTTCCCTCCTCAGTCCCAAACCAAAAGTAAATACACTAGGATCAAATACTTTCTCTAAGTTGTCTTCATGAATGGGAGGCATTGCAAAGTGTGGTGCTGGAGACTTGGGAAGCTTTGACCTCTTCTTTTTCTGCGGTAAACAAACTGAGCTGTCTAAATTTTTTATTGTTTCAGCAAACTTCTTCATGTCAGATGGGGAATCAAAAATGCTGTCATCTTCAGAAGATCCATTACAGGTTTTCCCTGGGCTCTTTTGTGTATTGGTGTTGTGCTCTGATTCCAATACACTGTCTTGATTGCTGTCATCATACTGGAGTGTTGCTAAGTTCAAATCTCCTGGCTTTACCTTTTTATCTCCATTTTCCATCTTCTTAAATTCTGATCTGGAAACCTGAGATGGTAGAGGATATTTATCATCACTGCAAGTTGATACAGCCTCTGCATTTGGCAGCACCTTTTCTTCATTTCTATGGAATTCTGAGCTTGTGTAATTTCTTTGGTAGAAAGGATCTTGAGCATTTTCAGTTTTTACAGGTGAGTGCAAAGGCAGTTTAAAAGGTGAACTTTCTTTCTTTGCTGTGGTTAATTCTGGTTCTGGTTGCTTCACAGAGACACTACCAGCATCACTTTTGCTGCTTTGGTTAAAAAGGGATATAGCAGCTTTTACTTTAAGTTCTGTTGTCTTCCCAATATCCTCATAAGAGGTAAAGATTTCTCCATTTTTGCCTTTTAACTCTGCAGTGCCTTCTTTCTCCAGTGTGCCATTCTCAAATAACTTCTGGCGACTGCTTTGCTTATTTAATGTTTTATCAGGCTGCTCATTTTCTTTAGTTTGTTTTCCAAATTTCAGCTTTGCTCTGCCAACAAATGTGCTTGGTACAGCATTATTTTTTGAAGCAAGGATGTCAGTAGGTCTTTGGCTCTGGTTGGCACATTTGTTTTCAAACAAGGAAATTTTGTTGGCAATGTTGCTGTTAGTTTTATTAACTGGTTTTTCAAGAGTGTCCTGCTCACTTTCTAAACTGTCTTGATTCATAGGTGTTTTTAAATTCAGCTCTATATTCTTCGGTTTGGCTGGACTACAAGAGGCAAAGTGACATAGAGTGACATCTTTAATTAATCTTGAACAAGCTTGTAACAATTTTCAAAACAATAAAATGTAGAATTATAAACCACAGACTTAATTCAAATTTTGATATCTCAAAAGGAATCAACTAAAAGAGGAGTAACTATATGAATTTAAAAAATTAGACACTAAATAAGGAGTATATATTTCAAACATGTACTTAGTTCTTTAAGGTTAGTAAAACAAACACAGCAACTTACAGCATCTGCAATTGAGGCAGAGAGCTCAACTACTTATGACTGACGGACATTAAAATTTAGTAGTGAATAGGCAGAATAAATTATAAACGTGCAATTCCCTAGAGAGTTTAGAAAGCAAATCCCAATTCATTAAGGTGATAATAAGTTGGTTAACATTTGCATATTCTCTCCAATGAGTTTTGAAGACATCTGCCCAGATTCTTTGCAGCCTTTACACCTACACTGCAGAAGCAACCTCAAATTGAGTGAAAGAACTCTTCCACTCTCATGAGTGCTTGCAGAAAATGTTAGCTGTCCCCAAACACTGCATCACCACCTTGGCTAAGCAAACACCACATGTGAGGACTGTTCAACTTCCTTCAGGTAAACTTAACTAACAATTTAAATTGTGTAAACTAAGCCTAATCATTTTACAATAAATTAATTTAGAAACACAAATGTTTCCTATCAGAGTGGACAGAGACACATGTACAAGTACATGCACACAGTACTCCTGTGCTATGGCAGAAGGCTGATGATGCACACCTGAGTGTTTCAAGCTCTTTTCTCTGAATGCCTACAACCAAGAAAAATAATTTGTCCATGTAATTTGCTAATGCATACTGTACAGTATGAACAGCTGTGGATATGCAAGGCAGATGGCTTCAAAATTAATCAGTCAGATCTAAGGAGAGTCCTGCTTTCCAAAGAGGAATCTGGAGACACTCAGGAGTAGGAGGACAGGTAGAAACTGCCCTACATGAAAACTGACAAAGGTAGGAGATAAAATAGCTTGCAGCAATCTCCAGGGTCCCAAATGTTCTACCAATCAATGGATAATTCTGGTATTTAAGTGCTTTCTTCTCTTTTTACCTACATAAACTGTGTTCACTAAGTTTTCATGCAGCTCTTTAATCCAAGAAAGAGATGAGATACAGGAACAACCCCAAAAGTGAGATCCTTTCCCCTCTTCTTCAAGTGATACATCCCAAGTAAGAAATAAAACCCTTCTAATGCAAGACTCTCCATTGTACAAGCTTTATTCTTGGGAATACCATGAGTAACAAACTTACTGAAGTAACAGGAGGATTCAAAAATAGTTACCTACAAATCTATATAGAGAGCAACTATTAAAAATCATAGAATCATAGACTTTTAAGAGGCTTCAATGGATTTTAAAAGATCATCTAGCCTCAACTCCTCTGCCATGGGCAGGGACACCTCCAACTAGATCAGGTTGCTCAAAGCCTTTTCCAACCTGGCTTTGAACACTGCCAGGGTTGGGGCATCCTCAACCTCCCCAGGAAACCTTTTGTAGTGTGTCTCACCACCTTCACAGTAAAAAGCTCCTGCCTAATATCCAATATAAATTTTCTGTCCCTCAGTTTGTACCCAGGACTCCTTGTCCTATCACTACAGTTCCTGGCAAAGAGTCCCTTTTCAGCTTCCCTGTAGACCTCCATCTTCAGATACTGGAAGGTTTTTATGAGGTCTCCATGCAATCTTCTCTTCTCTGTGAAGCCCCAGCTCTTTCAGCCTGTCTCCATAGGAAAGGTGCTCTAGTCCTCTTATCAACTTTGTGCCCTCCTCCAGATTTGCTCCAACAGCTCCATGTCCTTCTTATCATCATGTCATTTCAGAGACAACTTCCCAACACTGCTCCCTCTAACTACCAGCCTACTCAAGCTAGTTCACAACTTTATGAAGAATTATGAAAAATGCATGATCAATAAAAAAGGAGATAGCAAACTTAAGATCCACTGGCCATACTTCAGATAGGTGCTAATAAAACACACTTGAAAAAATTAAGGAAAAATAGAAAAGCGGGGAAGGCATGAAGGGAATTATCATACAGTATAAAATGAAATATATTGAGGTACTACTTTTCACTTGAACCATTTCTTCCTAAACTTTTAAAAGTTAAATTATTCCATGACTTTTCTCTTTGGAAAACTAATACGAGTTACAAGGGAGCTCTGAAAATCAGCTAGCCTAACTTCCTACTCAAAACAGGGACAGCTTCAAAGTTAGATCAAGCTCCTGAAGGCTTTGCCTGACCAAGTTTTGAATAACTTCAAGGGTCAAGATCTCACAACTTTCCTAGTGAAGCACTGCAGCCACTGCTGCTGTGAATTATTTTTGCCTTATATCCTATTAAAACTTCACTGTTACAACTTGCAGCTGTGTCTGTTGTCCCTTCACAGCTCAGAGACAAATCTGGATCTGCTTTCTCTATAGTAGTGAGAGATGACTGAGGTCTACCTGTATCTTTTCTTCTCTCAGCTGAAGAAACCAAGCTGCTTCAGCTTCTCCTCATACATGATTTGCTCCAGAGCTGTCATCTTCCTTAATGGCTCACTGCTGGACTCATTCCAATTTGGGAACACCTCTCGTACACCAGAAGAGAGTTGGAAGGACAGGAAGGGGTACAACTCAAAAGAGTGACCCAGATGTAGACCCACGAGCACCAAGTATCTTGTCCTTTGACCTGCCAGCTATGCTCCTGCCTATGGAGCACAGCAGAGCCTTATCCTTCAACTGGTACAATGATGCACTACTGACACGTGCTGAACCTCCTGCTCCCAAGGACATTTCATATCCTTTTCTGATCAGAAGAAAAATGTACTTATCCTTTTCTTTTACCAGTATTTTCAAGAGGTAACACTAATGGCCCAATTATCTTAACAAATTAATCCCCATACCACCCTTTTGTCACCTGTCACTTGCACTACTACATGCATTTATTTCAATATGACACGTATCTTCCCCATAAAATCTGTGTCTATCTGTATGCCCAGACACAAGCGATAGTTATCAGCCACACCTAAAACCTGTTTTAAATGAATAACTCACCCCTAAAATGTATAGTTTCAAGCTTCGCAAATTTATGCAGAAACAACCACTTTAACACTTTGTATTCTGCAGTATTTCTGCACAGCAGCAGTGGCCAAACAACTGAGACCAAAGAGCTTGATAAAGCTCAGCCCTGCAGCTCCACTCACTACAGCTGGCCTCCTCTAATTTTTTCATTACACCTTTTTCCACACTATAACATACTGTTTTTAATTACAGCCAAAATATGTACTTTATTGCAAGAACTGAGTCTTGAAGCTTGTTTAAAAGGAAATGTTGATTGAGTATCCTTTAAGCCTCTCATCTTGTATGAGGAAAAAAACAAAAAAAACTTAACAGCATAAATGCTTCCTTACAAACAGTCCAGTGTAGCTGATCCTTACTACCCATTCCTGATCTGCAATGCCAGGAACAAGCAGGCACAAGAGAAATACCGATGTCCTTCTCTTTGGCTACACCTTGCAGCTGAACTGTGGAAGCAAGCAGTTAAACCTCTCCCAACAGTCAAAAATGGAAGGTGAGTCACACATCAGGCTTGCAAGTGGTGCCAAAAAAACACTGATGCCAAAATATCAGATTGAGGTGAGCAAAGAAAAATGGCATGTGAAAAGAGAATAATTCAACAAGTGGGCTTAAATGAAAAGGCAACTACAAAACCATGTCTGAACATAAAGTGTGACAACTGAAGCCAAGTTTTCCACTAAGCACATAAAAGTGACTACTGCCTGAGGTTTTATATGTCAATTAAGATTTACCGTCAACCTCATTTTAGTCTCAAATCTGATAGGTTTCCCTTTCAAAAGCTAGAAGCACAGTATCCTGTGACTTTCAGGTTATCCAGTACACAGACATAAATAGAGAAAAGAGAGAAAATGCTCTTTTTATTTACAGGAAACCTGCATTTCTGAAGGTGACTGGAGAAACTGACCTGTTTTGAAATTGTTTCCAAAGAAACCCGATTCCCAGAATTGGCACAAGATCATTACTAAGAGATTAATGCATTTTTAAAGGAGAACTACTTGCGTTATATAAAATCCTTCTTACAAGGGGCCAAGGAATATCTATGTAAATGGGTATTTTTCAACCAGAAAGGAATTAGTGTGAACTATCTAACAATAACTTTTTAACCTTTGAAAATGAAAAAGTTATCTGTTCACAGTGATAACTAGAGAACAAAACCACACCATCTTCTAGTAATGGCACCATCTTTCCCTTTCACACTTTACAGCACCTTAATCCACATCCAGGTTTATAGATCATATGTTCTAATGAATGACTATAAATTATACCAGATCACCTGAGCATGTAACTTTGGCTAAAAAAATGGCGTGGTGCTGTGCAGTGACAGCTATCAGATGCATCAGAAACCTTGCAGGCAACACAGCAGTCCCCACTCAGGGCTAAAGTTCCTATAGCAGCAGGTAAGGCCAAGACACACTATCACATACCCCACAAAATGGGATGAAATAGAACAGGCTGTTTATTTGTTAAAATTCAGTCTTTCAGACAGGACACTTGTCTGTTACTTTATGAGTACAGTAAAACATAATTCACTATATAGCAAGCCCAGGAGATACACAGAAAAAATGAAATCCAGCTATGCAGGTGTTTATAACTTCATCATCACTAATGACAGTGACACAGAGAAAAAAACAATGTGAAAGCTACCCTTCCTTTGAAGCTGTGAAGGTAAAAACTCAAGAGTTTAAGATTTGTGATCTCTACTGCTAGATAGCAAAGCATCACCAAGTACAAAAAAATGACACTTTAATTTTCAGTACTAGGCTTTTTAAACTTAAGTTACAAATTAACAACTCAGATGTAGAGTATTACAAATTGTGCAAAGGAAATTGCTCCTGTGCTTCTCAGATGTGGGAAGCATAATTGCAAACAGACACATCTCTTTAACCATCACGTTGAACCTCCACATCCCTCTAACACAACAACAATTATCAATGCTCAGTGTATCTTGGGTGGGCCTACGGGATTCAGTGTGACCCCACACCTACAACTGAACATGCCAGAACGAGGAGTGCAATAGCACACAGCACACAGCCGTGGCAACCAAACATTAATGAATAACGCAAACAAATCGTTCCCTGTGTATGAGAATGTAACAGTATCCAAGTAATCAATCACTGGTCTCATACTAGTGACAGTGAACTTTATAAATACAGCCACTTCTTTATTATCCTAAGGAAAGCTCTGATCACATGTTTGACAGAGATAGTTTCTTCGAGTGTAAAATCAAAAACTGAAAATTAATATATGCATAATTCTGCAAATACCTAATGCTATTCACATGCACCAAAATTTAAGTGATTCATCCTGCACATACTTAAGAAAGCAACCGTATGTATTCAAACGTTTGGAGTGTGATCTATCATATCATTTGAACAATCAAGTTCTACATTGCATCCTATATTTCTTCATAAAATAATAGCAGAATTTAGGCTGTTTCATAGAAAACTTAAATATTTTTCACATACAAAATCTTCAACCACATTCTGATTTGGTTACAGAGAGAAAAATTAATTAAGGTCTATGATAGATGAATTAATCTGATCCACGATGATGATGACTGAGCACTTTTTTTTATATGTTAAATTATTCCATATAGTGGAATTGACAAAAACATTGCCTATCAATTTAAAAAATGAGAAAATTAATTCTTTTCTAATACATGTAAACTACAGTGCTTGTTAAGTAGTAGCTTTAGTTATGGTAACTTTTTAAAGGCAGTTCTTAACTGAAAACAATTTAGACAGATAACAGATACACAGCCAGCGTTTTCATAGCATTCTAAACACAGATACAAGCAAAACTACAGCTACAAGGACAAGGTAAACCAGTTTGTTACTTACAGGCTAATCTTTGTCATGACTGTTCTGGAAGCATCCAAACTCTTCAGCTTCAAGGTGTCTAAATCAGAATTGGTCTGTCTCTCAGCTGACAAACACAGGTCTCCATTTTTAATCCCATCAGCATGCAAGAAAGCTCTTCCATCTGGACCATTACCATTCTTTACTGCCTTGGTATCATTTCTGCCTTCAGCAAACACCAAGTCTTCTGTCTTAGCAGCCAAAGAAGCTTTGGGAGACTCCAAACTGTCTTCCCCAAAAGCCACAGGTATAGCTCCCTTTTCCACTGAAGTTCTTTTTATTACTGGGTTAGTCTCTGGAGATGCTAAAGGTTGCCTTTTTAAAGAGTAATCTTTCACCTGACCCTTCAAACCAGTAGGGGAAATGGGTACAGTATCCGACTGATTCTTTTTGTATGATCTTCTCCTTGCAGAGCTTGTGTTTGAGATCTGCTGCTTGCCCTTGTCAGCTTCAGCTTTAGAAGCCCCTTTGTGAGCAGATCCAACTTTTAGGTCCTGATTATTACCTGAGGAAGAGGAATTTCTTTCAGGAGTCTGTTGAAGAGACCTTACCGAACCTTTTCGTTCGGGGTTTATTATCTTGTCTGAAAACACCTCAGAATGGGCATCATCCTCAAAACCAGATTCTTCTCTTGCAGTACTCTCAGTCTGGTTTCTCTCTCCATTTGGAATGTCACTAGATGACTGAGACTTTCTCCGTTTTCCAGATCTTTTACTAGCAGTTTTTTTATCCATTGTGTCCAAATCACTACAGTTTTCTTCAGATTTAAGAGTCACGGGTTCATTAAGGAGTTCGTCTGTTTTTCTTAGATAGATATCAACAGTTAACACTCTAGCAGAACATGCGTGTTCACTCGCTGCAGATTCCAACTCGTATGGCAAATCCTTTGGTTTTGCATGCCCAGGCTCCTCAGACACCCACGTGTTCACAAGCTGCTTGTGACTTAAGATACTCTTTTCTAAGTCTTCACTAGACAGATTTCTCAAGCTCTGTATGAAATCTGGAGTTGTGGAATTATTTATATCTGTGACGGATTCTTTCTCCAACCCCAGTGTTTCCACATTCAGGCTGCTCTCACAGAAAGAGTTTTTAATGGTTTCACTGCTGCCGCTCCAATCTGCTGACCACTCGCTGTCTGAAGAGACTCCCCTACTGCTCCATTCTGAAATCGTATCGTGATACAGCGGTCTAACTTCCCCACTGAAATTATATTCCTGTGCCTCAGAAAGGGCACTTACATTTCTCACTTGTTTCTCTACTTGAGGAGCTTCGTGTCCTTCTCTGAAGTGCCTACAGTACACTGCCTGTGCCCTGTGAGGAGAACCCGACCTCTCGCCCTTATGACGTGAAGTGTGCTCTAGTGAACTTTTGACATTTTTCCTCTTCCCTGTACCAAACAAATTTCCAAGTCTTTCCAAAACGGGCTTCTTTTTATTTTCTTCTCTGGAAGAATCTGGAAGGTGTGAGGTGGACTACAAAAACAAATAAACAAACATTTGGTTAATGTAAAAATTATTTCTATAATACATTTGTTTGTTCTAGGACTACCTCTAAATTAAAAGGACACAGTGAATAGAAACAAAACTGTTTACTGAACAATACTAGCTCTCAAAAAAAGAGCAGGAACAACAAAAGAAAAAACAATTAGGAAAAACAACTGGGACTCCACGATGCTTCTGTATGCTTTTGCCTGAGCATACATGTGCTCATCTTGTCTTACAATGGCAACTTTCTACATCCCAAATCTCAAAAATTTGCACAATTAGTTAACGCCATCCAAAACTTTACAGAAAAGCATCCTGGTGCCTGCAAGACTGGAGTCAAACTTTTCCTTACAAAAACAAGAGTGGGGAGTTTAACTTTCACTCCATATTGGCTGAATCAGTTTTCACACTTGCACCGGTAGTTTCAAAGGTGTAAGTTGTCTTAAAATTCATACATTTCTCATTAATGAAGTTCAGTAAATATTCAGCTTGTGTTTTTGGGCTAAAGACCCCAGAACTATAAAAGCAACTCAGTGAGCATTACTGGGTCAAACACTGCCCTGGATTACTCTTGGCGAAGTTCTGCCTTACAACTTCTAATTAACATGGTAAACAGGAAACACGCAACAGCATCGCCGAGTACACATGCATATTTGCATTGTAATATACATTATCCCTTCTTACATGCCGGCACGATGAATACTTGTTTTGAGACGTCTATTTCAAAACACCGCGAGTACTTTCTACCCCGGCGCACCCGACCTCTCGAGGAGAGCGGGTTCCCTCGGCAGCACGGACCCTGCTTCGCAAGTTTCCAACTTGTTTCCCGCTGCAGACGCCCACCTCGCCCGCCAGTGCCCAGCGCGCTGCCGGTGCCCGGCGTCCCCCCGGGGCGGGCCGGAGCTGAAGCCCCGCGCCCTCCGCGCAGCCCCGCGGCCGCCGATCCCTTCCCTGCAGGTACGGCTGCAGAGAACCAGCCCAGCACCACCTCACCGGAGGAGTCACGGCCCCCGTCTCAAGCGTTACCAGGAGGGTGAAGCCACCCGAGGCTGCGGCTGTCCTCCCCATCCCAAAACGGGATAAGCAGGAGGAAGGCGCCGAGACGGGCTTCCGCATCCTCGCCTCGCCTCGCTCCCCCATCCCGCTGAGCGCCCGACACTCACCGCCCGGCTCGGCTGGGCTCGGCGGCCCCTGCGCGAAGCCGCCCCACGCACCCGCCGCTACCCGCGCGGCTGCCCCGGCGCCGGCCGTCTGTGCGCTCCGCCTCGGCCCGCCCCCGCACCGCCCCGAGCCGCGCCCCGCCGCGGGCAGCGGCTCTCCCTGCCCGGGCCGCCCCGCCCGGCCGCCGAGGGAGGGACGGCGGCAGCGCCGGACCGGCCCCCGGCGAGGGCCGCGGGAAGCGCGGGCGCCCGCGGCCACGGGTGAGGCCGTCGAGGGGGCGGCGGGCGCGAGTGGGCGCCGCGCCCCGTAGGTGCTCCAGCAGCCCGCGCTGCGGCTGCCGCCTTGTTATTGAGGGCAAAACGCCGCCCCGGGCAAAACCGACGGCCTTTGATGCTGAGGGAAAAGCACCGAGGGCTGGAGGCGGGCGGTTCGCGCCGCCGCCGCCCCGGCGAGCTGCAGCGCGGGCTGCCCGGGCCGGGAGAGGGGCAGCGCAGCGCAGGGGCTCCGGCTCGTCCCCGCCCGGCCGCCGGGGCCCCCGCGGGACATCTGCGTTCAAAGCCCCGCGGGGAGAGGAACCCGCATCTTGCACCGCGCACCGGCGGGCGCGGCTGGTGGCCGTCTGTGCCGCCCGACTCTCCTGCCCTGCCTGGCCGCCCCGGGCACGCCGCCCCCGGGCTCGGGACACGGCTGCAGGCGGCCAAGGCTGCCCCGCCTGCCCCCAGCCCCGTTCGGGCCGGCGTGAGAATGACTCCGCAGCCCGATGGTGCCGGCGCTCTCCCCGGGCGCTCAATTAGTATTTAATGTTTAATGAATGCTCAACAACTCCTCTTCTAATTAACGCTTAATGACTTATATGAAGTGGAACAGCTTTAACAGGAAGGACCACGCAAGTCTCGCTTCGGAGCATCTGAGGGCCCAGCACGGAGGCGGGGGAGACACTGGGTCAGCCCGCCTGCAGCTGGCCGGGGTGCCCGGCCTGCGGTGTGTCTGGCCCTTTGGCTGTTGAAGAAAATAAGGACCTTTTGTTATGGAGTCACTTCCTTCTCCAGCTGGAAAAGTGTTAAGTTAGTTATTTTTTCTTAATCAACAACCTACATAGTCTGCTCAGGAGAGCCACATATAAGCTATTTAATGCCAGTGAACGTGCAGCAGCAAGGCTTGCCCAAGCAAATGAAAAATACAAAAAAGCCATGAAAAACACAGAGCCTAAGCTGGGGAGGAGGTAGATTTGACTTACACTGCAACCTAACAGAAATCCATGGAATCCTTGTCTTTGCCTACCTCTCATAACCAATGTCACTCACTGAAATGATAAGCAGGTGTACCACCAAACCTGTGTTCTCACACAGTGATCTTCCACCAGTGGCCTTCAAATAGGCAAGTCTAAGTCATTACCTTAAGCTCAAGTTTTTGTATTGTCGGGGTTTAGGTTTTATTACATAGTGAAATAACCTACAAATGAGAAAGTTGATGCCTGCCTTTTCCCCCTCCCTTTGAGGACTTTTTTCAACCAGTAGAACCAACACAATTAAGTAAAGAGCAACATTAAGGGCTGCATTAATTTCACACAGCTCAGAGAGGTAAAGTGCTTTAGTGATAACAAAACCAACTATAAATTTCCCTATCAGATCATGAGTAATGCAGCCCAATTACTAATTTCTTATTTTATGTATGTATTGCAGGGAAAGGATAAGATGACAATAATGAACATTGCCAGCTAAAATAAGCAAAATTACAAAATTTTTACACTTAATGCAAGGTAATAAGGAATGATATTGATTTTTCTGAAAATTAATAATAAATACAAGTGTGAGGAGGATGACTATATTGTTGATGTTAAAAACTGTTGGAACACCAAAACACAGGAAATTTAACTTCATTATGGTGTCAACCATCATATTAATAATTGAATAGAAAGAGCTGTCAGTCTTCTGAAGTAGTTGGGACTACATTATTGACCGTCATTATTACACTTGCTGTCAAGTTTTTAGTTTGCCAGATTACACCTGGAAAAATTAGTAATTTCAACTGGGGATCTGGATTTCTCTCTTCCCAGCCACTGATTTTCATAAAGTCCATGGGAACTTAATTATCATTGAGATGTCTCCCCCTTTCAAATGTAGTTTAAACTACAACTAACAAGTTCAAAAGGTGTTGAATGGAAGTGAGGAGGGACAGCCAGCCAGTCCAGTCACATAAGCCTTGTTTCCTCAGGGAACAAGGCTAAAGATTTTTCCTTGATCTTGAAATAGCTGCCCTATGTAAACTGTTTTGAAGTAATTTCTTCATACAAAGTACCTTAATTATATACAGCTCTTTCAAAACACATAAAAGACCAGGTACTTGCCCTGAAGATCTTGTATTTTAAGTCAGATAAATGTAGGTGAGCCAGTATTGCCAGTGCAAGAGGGCACAGAGACTGAGCATCTCAAGGGACTCCTGAGTGGGACCCAGCCTGCCAGAGCACAGCACAAGAATGCTTGGCTTCACAGCACCGCATGGAAGTGTTTGATTTCAGAAGGCAATACCCTTGCTCTACAGATCAGGCTTCTTCAGTGTGTTTACGTTCAAGCATTCTTACTCTTAAAACATTAGCTGTTTGAGAAATACCTGATCAAAGGCATCGGCAACTGAAAAATCTAGAGGACCTGCCTATCCATTCCTTGGACAGTGTGGAGGAAGCCATTTCAAGCACTCTGCATGAACCTTGAAATCCGTGTTCTAATCTGAAAGCAAAATGCTGCTGCCTTCTTAGCCAAGAAATGTAATTTTTGTTTGTATTTATATTCATGCCTGTTTATGCTAGCATTGAAATATTTCCTCTGTTTTCGGCTGGGTTTTTTTCCTCATTAGCTAATGTAAGTTGCCACAGCCAAACCCCTAATTTAACAGTGTAATTTAACATATGCTTTGCTGGTCTCTGGTGAAAAGACAGCATAAGCTACTGTAATCTATTGAATCAAAATTTCAGGATGTGTCTTGAGGGATCAGTTGGATGTTATTTTCTTAGATGAGTTCATCTGAGTCAGCTGAACATAAATGAAAACACTTCTTAGAGCACATATTAGAGAAAAAAGCAGTATTTTTACTAGTCATTAGCAACTTTGTGGTAACTAATAGATGATAATATCTAGTGTGGACAGTTCTTTAATTTAAACATTTATTTTCCAGCATCTTCAGAGGGGAAAAAAGCAACAAACCATTTAGTGAAGAGTAAGTTTGAGCTTTATCATTCATTAGAAGGTCATAAATGACTGGATTTCAAGTAAAATGAAAACTTCTGAGAACCTTCTATCATCAGCAATTCTAATAGTGTAGGACCCTTACAAATTCATGCTGGAAAGCCAGTAATGTCAAATATCTTTAAATCACACTATCGTAATTCACCCAGCTGTGAGAAACAGAAAGCCTTGAAGTTCTAGCAGTCACATGACATCCCCAAAAGTACTTTAGCCAAAAACATTTAAATAAATAATCTATTACTCTTCAGGCTTTAACATTCTGCAGAGACTGAGACTCAAATATCCCACACTGACAGTGCTGGGCTTTGTGAGGCTGAAAATTGCTCTGGAGTATTTCTGGCTCAACGTGCTGTGAAAATATTAGTAGAA